TTATCTTTTCCTTCTTTTCCTTATTTTTCTCTCCAACTGCTCTAATGACTCTAGGTTCTACCGGTGGCTTCTGACCTATCTTAGAATTACTCACATTCTTAGGTACACCTGAAAATTTTACATTTTGGCTCACGAGAAGTTTTCCTTCGGTGGTACCTTCGGTGGGTTTCTCTGAAGTTCCTTCCACCCACACTTCTCTCTCTGGTACCGACTCTGTCTGTGGTACCACTTCGTTCTCTGGTACCACTTCGTTCTCTGTACCACCTGATAGATCTCCTAGATCCTCGAAATCTGAATAATCGTAATCGATGATTTCATCATCATCTAATGTCACGTATACTGAACCAATGTTTTTCTTCTTCGGTGGTTCTACCCGTATCGCTGACATATTCACCGAATGTACTGGTCCACCTAAAGCCTTCGTGAGTACGTCTGCCCTCTGAGAGACAGTGCTAACGTATTCTAGTTCAATAACCTTGTTACTGACTAGATCTCGAAGAGCATGATGTCGAATATCAATATGCTTTGTCCTCTGGTGAGTACCAGGTTTCCTCGCTAGTGATATCGATCCTTGGTTATCGCAGTTTAATGTAGTAGGATTTAGCTGATCGTAGCCTATCTCCCTCAATAATCCTCTCAACCACTGAGCTTCCTTCGCTGCTTCAGCCATCGCGATGTATTCTGCTTCGACTGTCGACGACGATACTGTAGCTTGTCTTTTTGAACTCCAGGTTATCGGTGAGTTGTTCATCATGAATATCCAACCTGTAGTTGATCGTCGTGTGTCTTTACAACCTGCCCAATCGGCATCAACCCATCCTGCTAGATCGCTAGCCTCGCCACCGAGACGAATACCATGTAAACGAGTGGACCGAAGGTAGGTAATTACCATTATCCCTTCTTCCCATACTTTCTTCGTCGGTTTAGTGAGGTACCTAGCAAGGTATGAGGCGGCATATGATATGTCGGGTCGAGTACATGTGGCTAACCACTGTAGACATCCTATTAATTCTTGAAATGGTCGAATTTCACTCTCCGCCTCCGACATCGATGGATTTTTCGCAGTAAGGGGTAATGGCGTTTTTCGGTCTCGATGTAAGTCGTTTTCTGGAAACTTCTGAACTATCTTATCGATATATGCTGGTTGGTTTAACCATATTGTCTTTTCTTCTCTGTTCCTTGTTACCTTCATACCTAAGATAGTACTTATCTCCCCCAGGTCGGTTATTATCCACCTTTTACCTAGCCCATCGAAAATTTCCTTCGCTTCTTCCTTCGACTTCGTGGCTAATACCAGATCATCGACATAGGCTAGCAGTATTGCTGCTCCCTTTCCTTCGATTTTCCCTTCTGGTCTGTAGTAAAGACCCCAATCTGATTCGATTCTTGAAAAACCTAGGTGAGATAATCCTTCGCCGAGTTCTATCCACCATGTCCTGCCAGATTGCTTTAAACCGTAAAGAGACTTAACTAACTTCAAGGTATTACATCCAGGCTTCGGTTTTATCCCCTTGGGATACTTCATGTAAATTTCTACATCGAGTTTACCGTTTAAATACGCCCCTTCGACATCGGCCTGACGAATTTCGAGATCTTCGGTGGCCGCTATAGTCAAAAGTATTCGTAACGACCCCGATCTACCGACAGGTGCGAATGTCTCTTCGTAGTCGACACCTGGTACCTGTGAGAATCCTTGAGCTACTAGTCTGGATTTATACTTTAGTAAGTTTCCTTCTGAATCTGTCTTCACTTTGAATACCCATTTACATCCAATGGCTTTACGGCCCGGTGGTAACACCGTTTCCACCCATGTTTCTTTAGATTCGATGTTAGATATCTCTTTCTCCATGGATTCCAGCCACTTCTCACCATCTGGGCCGTTTACTGCTTCTTCAGGAGAGATAGGATCAATGAGAGAAGTATCACTTTCGATACCTGCGATAGAGGCGAGTGAGACTAACTTATTAGGCTCGCGACCAAAGTCTAGGAACGAGTCTGTTAGGCCTGCAAAGCGGTGGGGGGGTCGAATAATTCGTCCGTGACGTGTCGTCAGGATCCCCTCATCCCCATCATTTCTTCCTTCCTCATCATTTCTCTCATTTTCGACGATATCGTTCTCATAGATCCAATTTCCTCCCCAAATGCCCTGTCCTCGTCGTCTTTCAGTAGGTTGTGGGCCTATATTAGGTGAGTTGTCTCTATCGACATCATTTCCTTGTTCATTATCGATATTTTCCTGTTCGCCACTTTCTGAGCGGTCGTCAGGGAAAATTTCTTCGTTGACGACGGGGTCTAGGTCCACTTCGATGGCGTCAAGAGGGGTTTGGATGACATCTGGCGACTCTCTAGTAGCCACCATTCGTCCTGTCGAGCGACGAACGTCTCGTGAGTGTTCGATTCGTCCCGATCCGTCCATTCTAACGATCCAACCGCTCACACCCTCATCTTGACCTAGTATAATGGCTGATGAACCCCTAGGTATCGTGAAGTTCGACTTCAGCCTTATCTCCCTTGGTATCTGAACAAAACACCGTTCACCGAATCTCCACACGCTATCTAGATTCGTGTCTCTTCCGGTGAGTGATGTCCAACCTGATTTACCGCTGACACCAATCGATGTTTTCATAATTATAATGGCGGCGTATCTGACAGCATAGGACCAATATTCGTTCGGTAGTCCTGAGTCAAACAACATCGTTGATACCATCCCCTTCAAGGTACGTATCATTCTCTCCGCCACTCCATTTAATTCTGGTGTGTATCTTGGTGTGATGTAGTGGTTGATCCCTGCTGACAGGTAGAATTCCCTCATGTCGAGGCTATCGAATTCACCTCCCCCATCAGACCTAATCACCCTCACCCTTTCACCAAGCTGTTTCTCCAATTTTGAGATACACTGTCGAACGATATCAGACGCTTCGTTTTTGGTCGTTATTGGTATAGCGAATACAATTCGACTCGCCCTTTCCACACCAACAAAGAAATATCGTTCACCTTTTATCGCCGGACCGAACGGACCAGTAATATCGACATCCATTCCTACTCCTTCACCATCTCCTTTTAACATTGGTGCTTCTTTATTCTTCGGTAGACGTGTTATCTTGGCCTGCATACAGGCGGGACATTTATCTGTTGTAAAGGGATCGTTCTTGTAAGTGTCCCAGTCCTTCTTCAATAGTCCCTGTCTACCTAGATTCTTTAGTTTGTCTACACCTATATGTCCGAGTCGCTGATGCTCAGATTCAAGTGGTGAAGTCGCCTTCGGTGTCGATATCACGATCATCGCGGCAGACATTGCTCTGCCGAATCGTACCGACCACAGTGAGTCATGTTTCCTCAAACCTAGTTTCTCTTTACCTTTACCTATCCATCCACCACCACTACTTAGATTCGCTTTCCACCCCCATGAGAGTAACTTCGAGAGGGAGAGAAGACTTATCTTTGCTGTGGGGACGTGATGTACATCTTTCAGTACCATTTTCTGTCCTGAATCTAGTTCGAGGTTAATGTCACCTGTTTCCCAAGCCGTCATTGACTTGCCAGATGCTAGTCCGAACACTCTCGGTTCCACTAGCCTTCTAATATTCGTCATTATCGACCTGTGAGGAGTTATATGGTGAGTAGCACCACTATCCACTACCCAGGTAGGGATTACACGAGTGTGGCTCACGTCATTAGACTCTGTAGCTAATCCCACCCACTCATTATCCTCAACCCACGGGTTTTCAATTTCTTCGGGCCATACAATGTTACTCGTGTACCCTTCATCATCATCGAACCACGATTCTGTCGACATGGCCATCTGTAACGGTACTGGAAACACGACGACTAGGTCGCAGGTTGGGTCGAACTCGATGGAGGTCTCGTGGAAATCTAGGGGCTCTGGTGCTAATGGATCGTGTCTCCTCTGCAATCGATGTAGCCAAAGAATGATATTGAAGAATCAGCAAAGTTGGTACTTTGCTGATTGTACTATATACTGTCTACAGGTATCCGTGTCCTCCTCTCAGTTCCTACTGCAAGCGTCTATGTACATACTCGGACAGGTGAAAAACCGCTTTTGAGCAAACCCAGTGGGGAAATCTCGAAAGGGGAAAACCCGTCCCTACCTACTGCAGCACTGCCTCCAACTCCCGCTTTCCTCTGTCCTAATCCGTCGAACTCGATAGAGTCCTCTCGATTCGTTGTTACCCCGTAACAAGTTTCCCCCCCTGTCTCAAGGATCCTCGCCGAGGATCCTGAACCCTGTAACCAGGTGATGCACATGGATTGTTCTTAGACACCTTTGGTGCGCCCTGACATCATACCCACGCTAGTGTGACGGTTGCCATGAAAACGCGTCACCCGCACGGACCTCCAATGTGATCGAGAAATTACTGACCAAGTTACCTCCCCGTCTTCTTTCTCTTCTTTCCTCCTCATTCTCTCTTTACCTCTTGTTTGTCGTTCTTCTTACTTATCTATCATCATCCATCCATATCTTACTCATATCTTAGAGTATCCTTCCAACTCTGACCTGTCTGTGAGCATGTCTAAGCGTACTGTAAGCAATTCCCTTCGAATTCGATGTATATCCTCCTATCTCTCACTGGCTGACGAGATTAGTTGTCTCCTTCCACCTCCTCCCGTCAAACTCGAGCTTCTACCTTGGCAATCCTGCCTGACGTCGACCCCGAACTCCTCATGCGTAAAACGAAAAGAATGAGAATTACGTCTGAAGCCGCTTCCTCTCAACCCCCATTGGTTGATGCGTCTCGACGAGCTCTCGACACCATTAAGGAGAAGTATCAATCCGGTCCTTCTCGCGAAGCACAATCGCTCCTTGATGACCATGTCATCGAGCAATATTTCGACTTCGAAGGGGGTGCTGGGCCATCTGCCACTGGTGAGAACCTATCTCCCGCCAAATCCGTCGACTCCGAACACCCTACCGTCGTCGAAAATGAAAATTCTCCCGGTAAGCAACCCACTGGTCCTCCTTCTGAGGCTTCCGACGAACTTGTGGAGGTTCCCGAAGAACTTGGTGACATCTTTCACGCCCCTCGCAAGGTTACCGTCAACCAGGAACTGGTTAAGTTGCTCGAGGATCGAAAAGACTCCGAAATCGGTGAGAATTCCACCGAGTTCTGTTCGCTTCTGACTTGTTAGCTACCCTTTGGGCCAGCATGACCTTCCCCTCTGTTCGTCTCGCGTTGAAGAACGAAGCTCTGGACCGTTTCCGCGAAACCAACGCCATCAAGCCCACTGTAAAGTGGTTTAAGAATGCTGTAAGTCTCGAATTCTTTCAAGTTTTATCGATTCTAATCATTAGCTCGATCGTTTGGCCCAAGGTTGGCGCCTCCGCAACAAAAATGGTGCTGTTGTTCGGCTAGAGGGTGAGCTCTGTACCGATTGTCAACGTCGTCTCGATGGTGGTGAAGACTTTCGTGTTGGTTGTATTGGCCCTCGTAAGTTCTTGCTGCGACTCGTTCAATGTTGATGCAATTCAGTCGGTGGTGTGTGTGGTGAATGCTCTGCTAAGGGTACTTCAAAATGTTCGGTGAAGACCAACAACCCTGAGTCCAAATTCCGTGAGGTACCTGTCTATTTCCTTCGAACTTGGTCGATGTTGATGTATAGGGTATTGTTGTGGGAGCAAGAACGGTCACTTCCAAGGTTACTTTTGTCCTGGAGCACGAGCTTTGTGCGGCTTCGGTCCGCTATCGATCCCTTCCTGCCCATGATCAACCCGCCTGTCTGACCCAACTTTCGGGTTACATCCATCTCTTTACCTCCCTTCTCCTTCCTCTCCCCTCTCAACATCTGGATCTTTACAAATCCCTTCATCTTATTTCCGCCAACTATGCTCCTCCTTCCGCCGATGAAACTCTGGATCATCTTACTTCTACTGGTGATCCTACAGGATTGAGTTCCTCTCAGCCAATCGCTGGTCCCTCCTCTTCTCCCCATACTCCTCTCCCTCGCAATGTCATTCGTATTCCCGCTTCGGCCCGTCGTCCCCGAGCCAATTCTACCACCTCCAACTTTTAGTGTGTTTATATCTCTCTATTTGTAGCTATATTTCCTGTGTATGCATTCATTTCTGACCCAGTTTTGTTGATCTTGATCGAATTCTCACTTTCTTCTGGGGTCCCTCTTCCTCTTTTCCAAAAATTCACCAAAAACGGCCAACTCTTCCACATTTTCTCGTGGTTCCCAGTCATAGGCCGCATTTCCTGTGTATCCTAACCATTTTACCTTGAATTCTTCCTTCCCTCGTCGAATTCTGCTATCCACAATTGCTTCCACATGGAATTCTTCCTGGCCATTTATTACTACGGGTGGTGGGGGTTGTATCTGTCGACCTGGTATCATGTCCTTAGGATATGGTTCCAACAGCGTGGCATTGAAGACATTGTGTACTTTCATCGATGGAGGTAGATCCAATTCGAAAGCATTTTTCCCAACTTTCCTCATGATCTTGAAGGGGCCAATGTATTTTGCTTCTAATTTTCGACTGGGTCGTTCCGTCGTAAGATACTTCGTACTCAGTAGTACCTGTTCTCCCTTTCTGAATTCTTCTGGTATGGTCTTGTGTCTCCTGTTGTAGTACTCTGCACTAATCTCATTAGCCATCCTGACCTGTTCTTGGACAGTCGCATGTAATTCTCCCATATCTCTCCATTTCTTCTCCAATTTGTTTGACTTCGATCGAATGTCGTGCGAATGGATGTCGTAGTGTGGCACATAGCCGTAACAGGCTTCAAAGGGACACAGACCGTGGCTACTATGCGGCGAGCAGTTATAAGCGAACTCAGCAATTGGTAGAAGTTGATCCCAATTGTCCATGTTGTAGTTTACATACATTCCGAGCAGGATTTCCATCTGTTGATTTACTCGCTCAGTCTGTCCATCTGTTTGAGGGTGATACGCAGTCGAATATAAGTTCTTTATTCCCAAGAACTGACATATTTCCTTCCAAATTTCCGCTGTAAACTGAGTTCCCCTATCTGATACAATTGTTCGAGGTACTCCATGTTTTGAAAAGATCTCCTTGATGTAGATGTCGGCCACTCTGTTCGCTGTTAGTCCAGTTGTACATGGAATGAATCTAGCCATCTTGGTTAGTCGATCGACTATCACTAGTATCGCGTCGAACTCGGTCGATTTTGGTAGGGGTCCCACCATATCCATAGAGATATCTGTCCAGGGGAGTGTGGGTACTGGTAAAGAGACTAGATGTCCATACGGCTGATGTCGATGAGTCTTATGTCGGTTACAGATCTCGCATCCTTTTACGTATTTCGCAATATATTCGTCCAAATGTGGCCAGTAATAGTCCTCTTTGACCATGGTGATAGTTTTGTCTCTTCCTGGATGACCTACTAGTATCGAATCGTGTCTTGCTTTCATTACTTCCAATCTTGCCTGTCCCTCTGGTATGACTACTCTGTTTCTATACAAGAGTAATCCGCTCTGTGTCCATGACACTCTTGGTGTCTCGCTGCTAACCTGTGTCTTCTGTGTGTCCTGTGTGTTCTGTGTGCTCTGTGTCCGTGTTATTTGTAGTCCTAGTTGTCGTATGTTTGCTATGTCTTCTGAGTCTTTCAGTCCGTTTTTAATGAGTCCGAATAATGAGTCTTCTCGGATTGCTCCTCTTACTATGTGTCTTGGCCCTTTGTGTTCTGAGTCCATTGAATTCGATCCAACTTGTTCGTGTGTCGGTAGCAATTGTAGCCAGTTGCCTTTGTTTAGATCCGGGTCCTTGCTACTCCCTTTTCCCGGATGATAATCTCCTCGTCTTGTCAGAGCATCTGCTCCCCCATTTTTGCTACCTGGTCGGTAAGTGATCTCTATGTTGAAGTCTCCCAATATTTCCAACCATCTCATTTGCCTTCGATTTAGTTGTCGCTTGCTTTGGAAGTACTCTAAGTTCTTGTGATCTGTAATGATTTTTATAACATCACTACTGTTAGCCAAGTAGGGCCTCCAGGCGACCAGGCAGTCCACGATGGCTAGTAATTCTTTCTCTCCTACCGTGTAGTTTAGTTCACAGGGTGTCATTGCTCGAGACCAATACGCAACGGGGTGAAGTTCGGTGGTTCCCCTTATTGATGGGTGAGGGAATCTTTGAGACGCTATCGCACCTATCGCGCAGTCGGATCCATCGGTTTCGATCCAAGTCGGTCGGGTTCTATCAAAATGTCGAAGTACCGGTGCTGTGGTGAATGTTTTCTTTAGATCGTCAAAAGCCTTTTGGCATTCTTGTGTCCAGTTCCAAGCCTGATCCTTCCTGGTCAATCGTGTGAGAGGTCCCACAATATGCGAAAACCCCTTGATAAACCTCCGATAGAAATTTGCAAAGCCCAAGAACACTTGAGTATCCCGGACTGTCATGGGTTCTCCCCATTCTAGAATAGCTTTCACCTTTTCTTGATCCATTTCGATCCGTTCGTGTCCTATTACATACCCCAGGAACTTCACTTCATTTGAACTCCATTCGCATTTCCTCGGACTGACGACCAAATCGTTTTCAAGTAGTCGATCTAACACCTTTTGGACAATTATCTGATGGTTTTCGATCGTGTCGGAGTATACCGTGATGTCGTCGATATAAACTACTACCCCTTCGTCAAGTAGATCGTGAAACATGTCTTGTAGAAAGTTCTGAAAGGTGGCTGGTGCATTACACAACCCGTCCCTTAGGACTGTGCTCTCGAAACTGCCGTATCTTGTTCGTAAGGCAGCTTTATGTTCATCTCCTTCCTTTATTCTGACTAACTGGTAAGCCCCTTTCAAATCGAGTTTAGTGAAGATCCTTCCTAATTGAAGTCGATCGAGTAGTGTCGAGATGAGTGGCATTGGGTATGAATCCTTGATGGTTACCTTGTTAAGTGCCCGGTAATCTGTAACTACTCGATAGGGAATGACTCCTTTCTTGGGGACCAGGAATACTGGGGACCCATAGGGCGATTTACTTCTTCGCAGATGTCCACTAGTCAGTCCATCATTGATCCACTGCTTCAGGAAAGCATCCCCATGCTCGTCCAGTTGGTAAATTGGTCCTGGTTTCAGTTCAGCCCCTGCTACTAATTCGATTTCGTGGTCACATTCTCTTCTTGGTGGTAGTCTTCTTGCTCTTTCTACCTTGAATAATTCGAGGTACTGGTGCCATTGTGTCGGTATGATTTGTCGTAGTTCCTCCTCACTCATTTCGTCCTCCCCTTTCTCCAGTGTTGCTCCTCTTATTAATCCTTCTTCTAATCTTGGGTATTTCCAACCAGTATCTCGTCCAATTCCGTCGAATTCGATCAGTCCCTTTCCACAATCGATCCTTGCCCTAAACTGTCTCAAGAAATCTAGTCCTACTAGTACTTCTGGTCCTTCGTACGCCATAACATCCAGTCGAGTTGCAATCCTGAGTCCTTTTCCTAGATCTAATTCTGCTTCTACATATTCGGTCACTAAGGTCGCGGTAGTTCCATCCAGGAACCTAATTTTACGTGGTACCTGATATTGTTTCTTTGGGAACAGATGGTATAATGGACAGGCCGGCTGCACATACCTTCCTGTAGCCCCGGTATCGATTAACATTCCAATCTGTAGGGTATCTTTCTTTGTTTGTATTTTTATATATATTATGGCCGAGTCATTACTGAGATCTATTGGTATTTGAATTCTCTGCGATCCGGGCAGATCCTGGCCGCAAGTGGTCGCATCACTTAGGCCAGGTAGTCGTTTCCCTCTTCTTCAAAGGTCACCGCCATTCCTCGAACTAATGGCCCTTTGGATCCAGTTGGGATCGAATTCGATCCACTAGGAATCGGTGAGTTATGCGGATTTGGGGATCCCCTAATACTGTTTCTCGTGTTTCCTCCATTCGGACAGTTGTTGGCATAATGTTCTGGACTTCTACATTTGAGACAACGTCGGTTCTCCCTCCTCCAAGTCATTTCGTTCTCGCTGAGACGTCCTCCGTCCTCTGTCCAAGTGACCGGAGGGTCATTTGGTAGACCATAATTCATCATCCCTGGTTTTCCACCAGGCAAGGGTCCTCTACCAGTCGATTGTGAGTGGCGTTCTACCGGGTTGGGCGGACTAGTATCCAATCGTATCGAATTCGATCGAGGGGGAAGCCAGGTCGTCTCATTTTTGCGTCTAGCAGCCCATCGATTCGCCGCAATCATCGTTTCAGCCATCCGTTGGTTCTCCTCAGTCCCTATCACATGTTGTTTGAAATAGATCCAGTCCGATTTGGTTCGAGGATCGGTGTTATTTACCACTACCACTTTCAGTAGCTCTTCCTTCAGGCCCTGTATGGCTGAGGCGATTTTCATGGCATCGGGTACCTTTCCAAGGTGTGTGGACCAAAGTTCAAAGTTGGCAAAATACTCGGCGGCCGTATCCGTCTGTCTTAACTCCTGCAATTTCCTCATAGCCGTACCTGCCATGTTACTGTCTCCAAATTGAGTTCGTAAATGCTGGATGAATTTGTCGTAGCTCTCTAGCCATTCGGTCGAATTCCATATACTTGGATTGGTTATGGCCGGGGTTATAAGCATTTGAGGGGTGCCTCGAAGATACCCGTACATGAACAGGATCTTTCTGCGATCGGTGGCGTACTCTGCCCCTTTGAATTCGAAGTTCATGTGACAGGCTGCAAGGAAGTTGTCCAATTCTCCTCGTTCTCCACTGAAGGTAGGTGGATCCGCACACCTGGTTCTTCCTGTTCGTTCGTTGTTGG